CATGGCTGTATTCGATCAAAAGGGTGCTTCTACTAAATATTGAGCAAAGGGTCTGAATACTTAGGACCATGTGATATTTCAGATTTTCTTTTTTAATAAATCTGCATAAATGTCAACAATTCTGTGTTTTTCTGTCAATATGGGGTGCTGTGTGTACATTAATGAGGAAAAAAAATTAACTTAAATGATTTTAGCAAATGGCTGCAATATAACAAAGAGTGAAAAATTTAAGGGGGTCTGAATACTTTCCGTACCCACTGTATATGTATATGTATGTGTATATATGTATAGGTGTGTATATGTATATACATGTATGTATGTTATACAAAAATGTTAGAAAATATACAGAAATACTCAATGATTGTTTGTGAAAACATGAATATAATTGAATATGAATGTAGTTTAGAATTATTTTACTAAATAATTTATTGTGTGCATATATATTCAATTTTATGCAAAAATTAAAAAATATACAGAAATATACAGAAATACTCAGAAGTGACTGACAGCAATGATTGATGAAAGCAATAATTGTGCGACTAAATACATTTAAGATATTACAGTTCTAAAAAATACAAATTTGCTAAAACTGAAATAAAAATAATTTATTAAATTATGAATAAAATACATTTTATTACATTACAATAAATATATATAAAACTATTTAAAAAACATTATTTTTAAACGATTTCACACTGATTGAATCCAGCAACTAAATGGGTCTTTATTTATTTATTTATTTATGAATGAATGACTGAATGATTGGGTATAAGGCCTATATTTCTTTGGTAAACTTGACATGACATCTTAAAAAAGCCCCCAATACCCAAATACTTTTACTCAAGTCTCTGCCAAGCAGAATGTTCATTTCGAATTTACATTGCTCATCATTTATTTTGCATTGTTTCTAACATACTGAAGAAAAAGCGAGAATATTGTTTGTTATGCTCGTAAGACTATCATTTGTTTTCTCCATTTCTGTTCTTCAGCTCTCGGAGAAGGTCATCGACCGCATGAGAGAACCCTCAGGCCCACCACGGCCCCCCACCAGAACCCCTCCTGCTCCTCCTCCCGTGGTTGATCCTCTGCCAGCACTGGTGCCAATATCTCCTCCACCTGACCCTGTCACTTCCCTTCCACCTTCTTCCTTGCCAGAGCGTGTCAAACTCCCTGAGCAAGTGACCACTACTGCACCTCCTCCACCACTAGCAGAGCCGGTCATTTTCCCCCCACCTCCTCCTGAATCAGTGGGTGCTGTATCAGCCCCTGCAGGTGAGTCCATTGCTCCACCTGCAGCCACAGCTGAGCTTATAACAGCATCTCCAACTGTGGAAATAATTGCTGATTATGTTGCCTCCCCTCCTGCTATTGAGCTCTTCACACCTCCTCCTCCCCCCATTCCTACCCATCCTATCACTAAAACCACTTCTGAACCCATCTCTGCTCCACCTGTAGAAATAACCACTCCCTCCCCTCCAGCTGAACTTGTCGCTGCTTTCGCTTCCGCTGCTGAAACTATCCCACAGCCTCCTCTGTCTGTAGAAAAACCTGTGGCTTCTTCACCACCACCTCCTCCCGCCGGTGAGTCGATTCGAATTGTTCTGTAACGTAACGCTGACATACATACATGTGTTCATGTGGTCTGCTTGTGGAAATGTGGAGGTATTTCACACATATTGCACTTCAGTGCCTGTCATTCATGAGTGTTAATGGTACTCCTCGGGAAAATTGCATCTTGTAAGCACTCTGAATGTGTTGTTACACCTTTGTGAAGGGGTAATATTATACATCAAGTCATTCTGGGTAATTCTACGGAATTCAAACTTCTCTTAAACACATCAGAGTACGTGGGTGGAGTGGAGCAACAGCAATTTTCCCTGTGTAAAGTGTTCTGGCTTATAATATATTACCATTATAAGAATTATTGTACAAAATCAAAAAATAAACATAATTATTGAAGGACAGTTCATGGAAAAAATGAAAATTCTGTCAGCTATTATTGACCCTTATGTCATTCCTAATATATATAAGACTTCGTTCATCTTCAAAACACAAATTATTTTTTTAAATGAAATATGATCTATAAAAGGTCATTCTACCAGAACTTTGATGCTTCAAAAAGTTCACAAAGGCATCATAAATGTAATCTGTTTATCATACAAAGCAATCATGTATCTTCACAAGACTTGGATTACACTGCATAATTCATCTTTATGTACTTTTTGAAGCGTCAAAGTTTTGGTGGCGTGGTCTTTGAATGGAGGGACAGAAATCTCTCGGGTTTCATGAAAAAAAAAAAGAAGTAATTTGCGTTTCAAAGATGGAACAGGATTTAGAAAGACATCAGGTTGAATAATTTATGATAGGACTTTTATTTTTGGGTGAATTATCCATTTAAATGTAATTGTTTTAAATGCATAGTTTTTTTTTTTCCAACAAAAAAAGAAAACTAAACGCATCAGTCAGAAATGCACACCTGCTGACACCTGTTTGATTGAGATTTATTTGAAATACTACTGTATGGATTTAAAAAAAAATAAGATGAACAAATTGGCTAATATTTTATTTTTCTTCCTAAAAGTTCAGTCCTCTTGATGTTAGTGAGTGGGCCCGGATCCTTCCATATTATGATTCATAGCTTGTGCCTGAGTGCTAATGAAACGATTAATTCTAACATGTAATAGAGTTAATTAATCAATGCTGTAATTAGGAACTCCGCTTAAGCCAGTTCAGCCTCTAAGGTACCTGGAACAGCATCTCCTCCCAGAAGTGTGTCGAGCCGATCACATTTGCAACCGCTTTGCTTCTCATTAAAAGTAAGACTATGTTCATAGATTTTTCAATCGGAAGTTTAGTTCCCGTTTTGAACGATTATACCAGAGACGCCTATTAAAGGGGTCATGTGATGCTGCTAAAAAGAACATTATTTGGTGTAATGAAATGTTTATGCGGTTTAAAGTTCAAAAAACACATTATTTTCCACATACTGTACATTATTGTTTCTCCTCTATGCCCCGCCTTTCTGAAACACGTCGATTTTTACAAAGCTCATCGCTCTGAAAAAGCGAGGTGTGCTGTGATTGGCCAGCTATCCAGTGCGTTGTGATTGGCCGAATACTTCAAGCATGAGACGGAAATGTTACGCCCCTCACATACTGTTGATGCCGTGTCCGGCTGGAGCGACGAGACAACATTAAAACCCATTACAAACGAGGCATTTGTTGCATCCAGTGGGGACATAATTACTGATTATAATGACTTATACTGTCTTTTTACGCGTTGCATTGAATTGCATCGCGATGCGTAAACATAAAACTCTGTCTGCATTTGTGATCGGAGAAATGACAAACAACAAGCC